AGCTACGGCGGTCAGCCCAGGGCTCAGCACACGGCTGAATTCGGTGCCTGTAAATTCGGAGCTCGCGCCCAAGCTGGGTACGACAACAGAGGGAGATGGGTAAGCAGACATCCTGATGAGATTGGGACGGTGCTAGGTAAGTGTATAAGAGGCGGTGATGTGCTAGCTGGTCGAAAACTGCGAGGGAAAGGCGACTGATTCTTGTCGGTCTGGCTGGATATGCTGCAGCGAGCGAGACTATATACTCTGATGGATGCCGCTTCCTTCGCAGTCGGACAGAGCGGTCACCTTGTCGAAATGCAGACCGACGTTAGTTTCCTCGGGCGGCTACTAGCGTGCTCGCCAACATCCAGTCACGGACACCACGGCCTGGTTCGCATCTCTGTCGTGGCGTGGCGCCGACTTGCAAGAGAAGCGTGATCGGAGAGTGCGACCGCGATCACCCCAGGACAGTCCGCGAGGCGCGGGCATATATCTTCGCATCGCCCGAGTTTATGCCAAATTAGACACCAGTCTGCGAGGCTGCATGACATTGTAAGGCATCTGCAGGTGCACTGTTAATGAACCTCGGGTATCTTGGGCGGTAAGCTCGCTCATCGAATTCAGGCGCGAACGCCAAGTCGGCTGCCACACAGATGAAAATAGCGTCTCGCTGAATCTAGTATACCAAAACAGTAAATAGGTCTCTTGGGACATCCCGGACAAATCGCCTTTGCGGCACAGACTTACCTACTCTGGTCCTCAGCTCCCAACTCCTCGGCGCGCGCCGCATGGGTCGGTGTCCTCCTCATCCGCGATGAGTGTTTGAGTGATTTTCTTGGTGCATTGCGGGGTATACAGCTCGAATAAAGAGTGCAGCGCATGCATCCTGCCCATTTCCGAATCCCATGTCACACGACAAGGACGGTGAGAGACCGTGTCGCGCACGGCGTCGCGCGCCTCGGCATTCGCGTCATATGGGGGCGCATACAGACAGTCTCAGCTGCCCAGTGCAGGCGAATATGTGAGCTGGGTGTCGCGACTGCGTGACGGAACGGCCAAATTGGTCTAATACAGCGTTGCTCTGACCGTGAGGCACCAACTCACCCAGATTCCATACTGTCCGCCCCAGTGTCGACGAAAACGCTCAGACCATATTCCATCGTAGGCTATACACGAGTCGGGTGTCGCCCACGTTTCTACACAGCCTTTTTACAGTTGACTGCTAGTAGAACCCGCGGTGCTATAGCACGACACCTTGAAAACTGCAATGTATGAGTTGCTACATGATCGCTCTCGAAACCTTTGCTCATCCGTGCCCCCCCGTACAGACCACATGTCCATGAAGATTGTGCTCACCGGTCTACCGAGGGAAGTCGAACCATTGTTCAAATCGCCCAGACCCTCTCCGAACTTCTCCTCCAAAAATCACATCTTCAGCCCATTCATTCCCACATACAATTCCGAACCTGCACTGCTCGCCTAGTACTAGTCTTGGCAGGCAAGAGAGAGTAGCGGATACCAGGTCTTCGAATTTGAATGATTCAGAATCGATACAGAAATTGATCACGATCACGATGTGTGGTAGTTGTCTTACGAGGCAGACCAGTGCATCGTCCATTCCTTCCCAGGGGCCCTTGAAACTATGGTGCACATCCGTCCGGGCCATTTCTGGATCATAAACGCTACGGTCGAAGCGATGGCGCCAACTTATGGGCTTGAAACTCATCTGCAATCGGCGTAGATGAGGATTTGGAGTGAGCCAGCGGAGAAAACAGGTCATGCCACTAATGACGTTCAGTATGTTGTGTGAGCAAAAGGAGTCGAAGTTTTCATCTGAATATATGTATTTGAGATGCAGCGAAGTCAGGTTGATGATGCCAGCGAGCGCGTCACGATAATAGGATTCGTGGTCTGCCACCGCTGTTAACCTGGGATCAACAAGGACAAGAGCCCGTAAAGTTGAGTGGGAGGAACTGATTATAGATGAGACTAGCTCGTGGCTTCGTGAAGTTCTGAGCGAAGATGGTAATCGTACTTGCAAATTGCGCAGCTGTAGATGGAATGCGCCATTGAGAAGCCATTGCAGGAAATAATCATGGGACTGCATCGTTGCGAGAGTATCGATGGCAACTGCACTTGTCGGCGTGATGGCTGGTGCATCAGAGAGAGCTGGCATATCTGATAGAGGAAATTGCACATCGACAAGGTTAATAGCAGTAAGCTTGCTGAATGCGCATAAGAACCAAAACATCTCATGGTGTTTCCACCATGATAGATCCTCCACATATAATCTCTTGATGTTAGATAGATATTTCGACAAATCCCGTTTGACGTCTTCACTCAAACTGTCAGGGTACAGCCTTCTGATCGTGAGATCTTCGACCCTATCGAGCTTGAGAAGAAGTTGAGCCCACTCGTAATCTAGCCGGTCTACTAGACGAAGGCTGAGCAAGGTGGATGGTTCGCTTGTCAATATAGAGAGGCGGCGGACGTATGACCCGAGGTCTGGAGACGAGGAGAGGAGCCCCTCAATCTTGACGAGATCTGAGCCATTCGTAAGGGTGATGTGCCAGAACATAAGTGAACGAGCTCTCGGGCGCCACGAGCGGCATGTAAACTGACAAGCCGCGAGAGCTTTCGAGTCGTCCCACAGATTATCAATGACATGATCGCATAACTCGGCGGGGATGCTGGGTGGAAGTTGAGTCTCCATGCTCACATAAGTACCAGTGTAGCCTCAAGTTGTCGGCCGACGGACTAAGCGCTGTCGGCGAATGCTGTTCGGTTGTCTATTCTTCTGTTGAGTATGTATGGATAATGTGGGATTGGATTCACTCACTACTGGGCAAACAATCTCTCTGAACAAGTTGTATGGCGCTAGTCGATTTAATCATCTGCCTGCCCTGGGCCTTCTTAGCTCATTCGTTCACCGTTGTCAGACCACTCTTGCTAAATGCCACTAGAACGATAGGCTCACTCAGCTTCAGTGAAGGTAGACGTCAGAACATACAAGAGGGTCGCGTCGTAGCTAGTATGCACAACCAGCGGCTGACGCTAGACTCTAGTGAAGGTTTCGAGGAGCGATGACCAATTGACTACGAGATAACGAGGGAACTACCATGACAGCCACCCGGATTGATTGCCAAACCCAGCCAAATTCACATAGATCTCATATAGTGGCTCATAGAGCCATTGAGCACAGAGTGCAAAGATCATGATGAAATGCTGTGGTAAGATGATTCATTGAATGGAGGGAGTAACACCGAGTACAGCGCGGGGACTCGGACTATCTGGACCAACCGCAATATCCTGGCAATGCCCACGATAACTTCTTGCAATGTGGCATCATAACAAAGAAAATGTTAAATTGGCCTCTTAACTACAAAACAATGCCGAGGAGCTGGGTGGTGGAAAAGAATTAACAAGCCACGAGTACATGCTCTTTTGCACCGAGTTCTCCAAGAGTTATAGCCACATGGCGAAGTTATACATGCTAGCCTGGTTACGCGATAACTAGGATTGCACAATGACCGCGTAAGCAAACCCCACGTAGCCTAATGATTCATCGGTTGGGGCTGGGACCTATCCGGTTTACTGGGCGATAGCTTGAATATGTATGTCAATTTCTTAATCTCGGCCCTGAACTCGTAGCCGTCGAGACTGTATAAAGAAACAAGACGAAGTCGTTCAAATGTGTTGTCAGCGAGATCGAATGACCATCGTGTGGCATAGGGGGATGCAACTTCATTCTCGCACATCTGGACGCGTAAGTTCTAGTCAGCCATCAATAGGACGAATAAATGACCTATCCTCACACGTATGAAATCAGCATAATATATAGCGATGCACCTTGCAAGACCAAGCTGAGTGAGCGGCTGGCAGTCTTCACAAAACAATGGAATTTCTTGAACAAATTCGACGTCAGGATAAGCGGGCCACTGGGATCATATCCGAATCGCGGCTGAATATCCAGGGGGAAAAGATAATGATAATGATAACTCGCCTCGATACGGAATATAAGCCGCCGTTGTAGTTTTCTATCAGGTGTTCGTAGGAAGGGAGCAGCGTAAATATCAGCATTGCGCATCGCATAGGGCGCGTAAGCATCATGTAATGTCTCCAAAGGTATACCATCCCCTTCATTTCCATCGACCAAATCAAACCGTAGGACTGGAGAGATGCCGGGAGGGAGTAAAAACACAGGCTCACAGACTGCCTGTCTGACGGTAAGGCACCACGTACGCTTACCATCGTCAGGGGTACACTCTTGGGGATTGGAAGTAGAAAGGCGTAAGCGGGACATCGAAATATCTTCAACCGCCTAGCTGACAGCAGAAGGTGTTGCTCTAGAGGTGATACTGCTTGCAGATAAAAATCAAGAGGCATCGCTTTGTCCACAAGGCCAAAGATAAGTCAGTGGCCCATTGGGCGTGGTTTGCGAGTCGAGACAAAGGCGAGTCCTTGCTTTCCTGACGAACGTAAGCGCCAACCAAAGCGAAGGTAGGTCCAAACGCTGGCGGCCAATGTCCCATTTCAATCGGGAGAGAAAAGTCGCAAGTCCTACTATGCCACAGGGGTTTGAAACAGAAATTCGATGATTTCAGTGCGAAATTGGTTCCAAACCCACGTATTGGTATGAAACGGTTTCAATTAGGATAGTACACAAGCAGAAAAGGCCTCATCAGAGCCGCATGCGTGGCTAGTAGAGCCTAAAACCAAAAGAAAAGAAGAAAAAAATCACAACCACTGCGCGCGCGATGCAGATAACGATAGGACAAGGGGGTGACGACGCGACCGCGCCGGCGCCGCAGACGCGTCCGTGACAGTTGTGTCACGGAGCACGCCAAATAAATATATAACGTAGGAACGTCACGTAGAAATGTCACACTATAAGAACCGCGGATTCACTCACCATATCGGCCTTCGCTCCTGCTCTCAACCACATTCCCTCTGCCCCGCGTGTACACTATTCAGACTTGGACAGCTACTTTATTTGATTCCATCACGCGGTATGGCACCCAAACCTGCATCCACAGCTGGAAAGGCACCTGCTTCTACCGCATCGAAGGCCCCCGCGAAGACAACCTCCGACACCTCTAAGGCAGCGAAGAAGACATCCAAACCTGCAGCAGCTTCGGGGGAAGAAGGGAAGAAGAAGAGGCGCAAGACGCGTAAGGAGACCTACTCGTCGTATATCTACAAAGGTGTGTGTACTTACCGGAAAAGACGCGTTCATTTAATGATTACCACGCCTGTAGTATTGAAGCAGGTGCACCCTGATACGGGTATCTCCAATAAGGCGATGGCTATTTTGAACTCGTTTGTGAATGACATCTTTGAGCGTATCGCTACCGAGGCATCGAGTGCGTCCATTTCATATTATGACTGTTCTAGAGGCTTTAACGGTGTTTGACAGAACTTGCATCTTATTCCAAGAAGTCTACAATCTCTTCACGAGAAATTCAGACTGCGGTCCGTCTCATCCTTCCAGGTGAACTTGCCAAACACGCTATCTCTGAGGGCACCAAGTCGGTCACGAAGGTATGTTTCAGTTTACTGTTGGGCTTCGGTTCAGTCCAATAAAGCATGTACGCACAGTTCTCGAGCGCAGGCACGAAGTGACCAATGTAGCCTGCGGCGTTTGCGGGGTAAATGTTGTGTGAGATATTGGTGTGTTGTCTGGTTACTGTATCCCTCTGGCTCTACTGTTGTATTGTATGTCTTATTTGCCATTTATATCTACCTGGATGTATGTTTTCATACATCTGATAACTTGCGACACTTACGTGTGTATATTTGGTCGCTTTCATCGCACGACATCACTCTCCAGCCCCAATATGAATCCGTTTGGTACAAATTGTGGGTTTTTGCCAGCTTTTTGTTTATGTTGACTACAATATTTGTGTTGTTGACGGAGGGGAACGTCTAAGATGAGGCTAGACAAGCTTCAAAAGATCGCTCATTACACCCATTGCGGTCACAGCAGCGCCCGCTCCGGCGCCTTGGACCACTAAGGGTCTTGCACCATACCGCTCCGTATGGAACATAACGATATTGTCCGATCCTCCAAGCGCAGTCGCGAATGGATGCGTAACAGGATACCTTATGAGGATTCAGCAATAAGCTGCAGCTATTCAGTATGTTGTGTGTTAACGTACTTCTCTAGGTCTGCTTTGATCAGGCCTGATTTCACGTCAATAACTCCAGCAAACCGGAGGACCATGTTTTCCTCCGATGCATCCGCTCGCAGCTTGTCGAACTGAGCATCGAACTCGGGTAGCCGTCTGATAAACTCGTCGCCTGTCTCCGCACCCTCGAGTTCGGCAGGCACCAGCGACTTTGTGTGGACGGATTGGTACCCATCCTGAAGTGCAGACCTGAGCGAGGGTATGTAACGAGAGAGGATTGTAAGCTTGCGAGCAACGTCAGCCCCATTCAGATCGTCAGCCGGATGCGGTTCCTTCGCAACGCGTGAGCGGGCTGTCTGAAATACTCGGATGGAGCGTCTAGCGTACTGTGTAGCCTTTCTCTCGAGCAATTCTGACAACAGATGAGAAGCTCGGGCCACCCTCCTTTCCGGTCGAAAACTCATTGAAGATGTAGCTCATTGTACCCGAAAAAACGCCTTCGATTTTGGTGACCTAACAAATGATCTATGAGCCATGCGTGGTCCATACATAATTCAGAGGAACGCGATCACCTTGTCGCCAGTCGCAACCAGATCCTTCAACGTTGAGACGATGGGCAGTCCTGCGCCGACGGTAGCCTCGCTTAAAAAACGCGCACCGCTTTCGAGGCTGGCGGAGAGGATACTTTCATACAAGGATAGCTCCGAGGAGAAAGCCTTTTTGTTTGGCGTGATTACATGAATGCCAGCTCTGAGGAATCGGGGGTAGAGCGCGGCTACAACGTTTGAAGACGTGTTGTCGACTAGTACAACATCTTGACCCGGTTTCACGAGCGAGGACAGTTCGCGGGTGAGCACGGTCAGATCCGGCTTCAGGCCAGATTGCGTGAGATCCGACTTCCAACCTGAAGTTGTGATGTGTAGTCCGTCTGGTGAGAATAGGGTTGTCTTGGTCGAAGTGAGAGAGACGATGCGGAAGGGGCTCGGTGCGGGAAATCGCAGCAGTTGGTTAATGAACTCTCCTCCTACGAGACCAACGCCTACGATTGCGATCCGCAGCAATTTGGGGCTGTTAGATACCGTCGAGTATAGTGCCATATGATCTTTGGAGAGTCAGTAATGATCAAGCCAGCTTAAGTCAACTACGCGAACAACTCGCAACCCGACGTAGTGCAACGACTTGGATGCGAGTCCACTTGGCATAGGCAACGACAAATGTTTCAACATACCTGAAAGATGTTATTCCAACTATTTTTCAATGGGCTTTCTCGATTTTCACCGCGTGGAGACAAACTAAATCATCCCGAGTCTAAATTCAGCCTCCGATCGCACTATGATCACATACCAACTATGCACACTAGTATGTACTCACTTATTGTAATTTTTGGGGCCTTTGGTTTCAAACACAACCAAGCCCGACAGCGAGTCAGATAGCCTGAGTAAGTAGTATGCGAAGTGCGAGTCAAGGTGTATGAAGTATTCAATCTGTGCATGTGTATACCGCTGTTTTTATGCGTTTAATCATCGTTCACGGCGCAATGTCACGGTATACTTCACATCGATCCAATACGTATTACCAGCGTTGTTAAGTGTTCATATCAACGGTCATAGTTTGATCTCTTCGGGCGAGTACATTACAGCCATCCGTAGGCACATGTACATACATCGATGCTAACGGACGAATGTGCAGAGTCAATTAGTTCATGGAGAGCTTCATCAATATACGCGAAATAAAAATTATCAAGCTCTAGAGAGAGGGAAGGAAGGAGAGAAAAGCATTAAAAACTAGTAGTCCCATTTCACCGCCGTCGATCCCTACATCTATGAGAGATGTTCATAATGTCTCTATCTTGTGTTATGGAAGGTGATGATGTACCACCAAAATCGGGCAGTATCTCTTCGAAAGGGGATTGTGTTTGCTGTTCAAAGCCGTATAGCGAAGGGGACTCCGTCCACGATGGGACATGCTCCGAACGAGTGGTCGCACGACTTGAAGGTTCAACGGCGTCAAACAGAACTGGCCGGTCCCTCAAGTCCGTCTGCGCGGTCCAGATCCTAACGCCACCGTCGTGACTACCCGTAGCGAACATGAACGGCTCGGTTGTAGGATTCCAAGCAATACATGTCAGGTCTCCACCAGACGCCTGTGCGCGAATATGGTGCAGCAATGCAGCGGATTCTCGATCCCATATGTGAATATCGCCACCTGCGGCCGCGTTCAGTGGGCATGTTGATCTGACTGTATGAATTATCTTGCCTTTTCCAGCGCACAAAACCAACTGGTCACTCCTGCCACCGAAGTAGCTCGGTCCAGCAAAATCCACGGGGACTTTGGGCATATAGGTGTGGCGAAGAGATAGACGCGTGGAATCTTTCACCATGTCTAGTTTCCACAGCTGAGGAGGCGCCTGCATGTAGGTCGGTCATCCATCTCCAGGTCACAAAAGATCAACAAACCTTGTTCTCGTAGCTTACCAAGGCGACCTGATCATCTCGAGCAAGTGTTATATCACGCACATCATGTAGAACGGGAACGCGGCTGTGTGACAATGTCAAAAGCTGTGATGAGAATAAAGATTAACAGAGACTGACTTCTCAATATGCTTTCTGTTGAGATTGTACGCTACGAGAAAAGCACAATGAAAAAGGAGTACATGAACATGAGTTGCACCTACCTATAATCTGCTTCTCTGCCCGAGATTTGCTAGGGCGCAGACCGTCACGAGATGTAAGAAGGGTCCCAACGCATAGCATACGCCGACAGTCCTGGGTAACCGCAACATCATGCAGTAACATCCGATCGAAGGAGTACGTGTCCAATATCTGATGAGATATATCAGGAAGTGTGGAAGGCAAGGGCGATTCAACAAACCTGGCCGTTCAGGTCCTGGAAAAGTATTAGCTTTATGGTGCTGCAAAACCAATATGAACTCACTAGCTTCACAACTGTGCTGCCTTCGACCGACAAGAACGCTGTCGGTGCTAGAGATCAGAGGCTTTACATGTGGAGACGACGTATAGATATCACCCTCGTCGCTGGGAAGCCAAGCAATGGAGTGCACTGTCTTGTGACGGTCAATTGTCTTCCGGCACACCCCGTCCTAGGATCAAATGTCTATCAGAGTAAGATGAAGTCGCTGAATAAGAAACTGACCTCTGTCCACACTTTGACGCCGCGGTTCAGCTTAGTCAGTAACGTAAAACCGTTCGGTGACCTGCACACAAAGTAGAGTGCATTAAAAACCCAACTTTTAGAGCCGGAAAGGTGAAGGTATACCAAGCAACTTGACCAACAAATCCCTGGGGTTGGGCAAGAACACGGTGTGAAGTAAAGGAATCCTGAGGTCATGTGAGCTCCGCGTCCTTAATTCTACCTAGGAACAATACTGACCCCAACTCGAAAGATGACTGATGTCCGATCCCAGCTGGAAAAAAAGGTTTGACACAAGTTCGACGTCTCATGACAAACACGTACCTTGAGGTGGCCAAAAATTTCCCGTTAGGAGAGAACTGTAAGTGTCTTACAAGGGCCTGATGCGCCGCGAGGTCTTGGGTCGGCTCGAGAGCTTTCAATTTTGGAACAAGCGCAGCCACCCGCGAAGCACGCAGCACGCCCAAAGGTTCGACCAATTGGTCACTAGTCCTCGTCCCGTCCGATGAACTAGTTCTCTGTCGTCGCGGCGAACGTGGTGGAAGCTTGAGCCCGAAAGGGGACGCCATCTGGCGCATCATCATGACCGAATGAACTGCGTTCACGAAACGCATTTTGCCCGTGAGCGTTGGAGTTCCCGGCGCACTGCTCGCTTCACTCAGAGTCGTGGAGGCCTCGAGGTTGTCTGTATATGTTCCGACGGTAGGTGGTCTGATTTCAGATATGGGGAGCAGAGGACCAGCACCGACATCGGACGAGCGTACACGAATAGGCGATGAAGGCCCCGGGCTCATACATGTCGGAATGGTCTGGTCCTCAAGGCCGTCCTCACTGACCTTCTCGGAGCTAGAGCTCATGACACTTATACGGTTTACTTTGTGAGTCATCCTAGAAACCAAACGGGAAATACTGTCGCTCGCAATCCGAAAATGACGTTGGATCCATTGGCCAATCTCTGCTGTGAGCGCGCGAGGCTCGTATATAAGCCACTTGATGCCGGGCACCGCGCAGATTTGCACTTTGGTCTCGGACAGAACGTCAGCGAGCCACTTCTGGCCTCGGTGACGGATGAAAATCCAGCGCTCAGAGACAAACCAGGCCGATACCGCTGCGAGTCCAAAGCAGCTAAATGCGGAGAAGACCGAGGTTAGGGTTTGGGTTATAGGGTCCTGTCTGAAGTCAGACCTGACGCTCAATCCGAAAGGGAGTCTTAAATGGCGTACCTGCCCCGAAGAGTATGCAAAGAGAACAAGACCTATCGAGAAGCACGCAACTGATGCCACGAGAAAGACCAGTGGCGAACGCTTGATCCAGATCAATACCCACCATGGCGTCCGATGACCAGGGGAACGGCTGCGTGGATTACCATGGAGTAAGAATGCAAAACGTGAGCTGGAAAACATGCATGGTACTTACTACATAGCTTTTTTCCATGTTAATCCGAGAAGGCTATTCACTGCAGCCTGGATACTGAATACGAGCGATGTGAACCAGAACGCATTCACGGCGTTCTCGAGAGGCCCTTCTGTCATCGTATACGAAAACTGCATCGTCGATGCGGTCACGGCACTGAAAAATGTCGCGACAGTACTGAGATTAAGAAGATTCTGACTTGCATGCTCTTGTGCAAAGCGTATCGTAGGTACACCTGGGAAAAGTTATCAGCACAGACCTAGAAGGAACATTGAAAAGTATTACGCACCGATCTCAATAAAGATAGATAAGGCAGAAGTGATACTGTCTAAATGTTCGCCCATCTCGGAGGTAAGATCGTGCAAGTATCTTTGCACAGCAGGATAACGAAATTGGCCTAGAACGTGACTTGGGTTAGCGCATGAAGGATGCAGTTCCTTGGCTCTACATACCTTCATAAGCTTTCAGACAAGAAGCCCAATACTTTGCAGACGTTATTTTAGTATTCTTCAAAGTTTGAGAGTTGCAAGTGCCAGCACCTTCAAATCGCTCTCAAGTGACAGCACGGAGGCATTGACAGCTTCGTCGTTAAACTCGGGGAACTCATTAAGACAATCTAAAAATGTTATCACTTCCCGTGCAAGGGCCTGCAGTTGTTCTGGGAAGACCTCTGGGTCGAGCTTCGCCACCACAGTCGGACTAACGACATGCGAGGGTGCCCTGTATCGCCTATTCTTTCGGCCACCCTGATGCATACCAGGGTCTACGAGCATCTCGCGTGGCTGCCGCCGCACTTTGCGCGGAAACAGATCGGCTGCGTTCTCGCGAAAAAGCCACAAGAGCTGAGCGAGACGTTGTCGCAAACGCACTGAGGACGACAATATTCCCACAGAGCTTCCCAATCTGCGAGCAGCATTGGCGAAGTTACGCAACTGTCACAAGGGTCAGACATCGTCAGATGAAGAATCAACACAACATACCTCCGTATCCAACTTGGTCATCCTCCTGCGACGCGGACAGGAATGAGTTATCATGACAAAGCGGCCTTAGCATAAACTCCATACCTTTGAAATTGGTCGAATGTCTCCGCACCTACTCTTTGAATATGCTCGTCGACAGTCGCTGGCCTCGCCGACGGTGTTAGCATGCCATTTCGATCACCATCTAAATTCACTCACGGACATCACGATCATCCTCGAGGTTCCGTTGCTCGTTCCTCGCAGCTGCAGATTAGATGGTCTCAGCGTCACAGGGCGGGATCACTGGCGTGAATAGTCACATACCAGATCCCAACTCCTCGTTGTCTCTCGTCAACTCCTGCAACGCGTCTAGTAAGTTCAGCAGTGTCTGCTTCCGCTTGAGACGATCTCCATTCGAATTATAATGCGATGTCGGTCCAGCAGCGAGATCGACGTGTGGCATGGCGGCTGTCTCGACAGCGGATGGCGCGCCTGGGGATTATAAGGGTTGGGATCGGCTGTAGTCCATCATGGTATGACATAGAGAGAGCGCCTCACCGTGTCCCATCTTGCGCGATCGTGGCCAGGCTGCGGTGTTGCACGGATATTAAGTGCGCGAGGACTCGTTGAATGAACCACGTCGATGTCAGGCGTGCACGGCAACTTACCGTGCAATCAACTCTGCCGACGTATTTGTATGATGCTCTTCTAAGAATGTTTAAAGAAGTGCACGAAGGCGTCAATCATATCGCGCTGGCCGTTGTGGCGAGTGCTTAAGCGAGTCTCAAGAAGCCTCGTGTTCGGTTTGACCAACATGCGCTCTGGAGCGTCTTTGCTGGTTTCACGAGCGACGAGCCTGTCAAACAGATTTTGTACATCGTGGACACGCCGTGAATGTCATCGCCACAAAATTGAGAGCTTATCATTGTGTATTCTAGCGAGATGCTGAGATGGTAGTAGCGGAGAAGGTGGCCGCAATATGAGAATCGTATCAACATTGTTGCTTGCAGTTTGGCCGGGAAGCATTTCAAAGGATCGATCAAATACGCGACCCGGTGTAAGGACTTACATGGGCGCGCTTAAATACAGTCTAGCCCAGTTGCCTTTAAAAATACTCTAATTGAGAAAACCTTATGTAAACTCCTTTAACCTTAGGCCTTCCGCTGTTAGTAGGCGGTCAACCCAATACTGTCACACCATAATACCGATCGTCACTGCTTCGCCGCCGCCCTCTATCTTGACAGTGCAGCTGCACGCTTCCGCTCGCTCTGAATACCCCCTCTATATGCCATGAGCACTCGACCCTCTCTTGACAGTGAACGACCACTGTCTCCGCCCAATGGTGCTAACGGGATCTTGAATGGCGAAACGCAAGATGACGACCTCGACCCCGTACAAAGATTGCAGCGGGAACTCCAACGCACCAAGGAGGAGAAGGATACACTTGCCACACAGTACCGCAATCTGTTATCTAAACTCACAACGATGCGGACAACATTGGGAAATAAGCTGAAGCAGGATGCCGTACGTCTCCTTGCCATTTCTTCGTCTCGCCTGTCGCAATTACGACTAGCGCATGCATAGGAAGAACTCGACCGGCAAGAACAACTTGTGCAACAGCTGACTGCGCAGAATGACGACCTCTCGTCCACGGTGGAAACACTCAAGTCGGAGCTCGTCGCCTCTAACGAGGAAGCAGAACGCGCATCAAGAGAGCTTGAAGCTATGCGCAGCCGCGCATTGCAGGACAGCGCGCAGGAGTCGTACATGCGGGAGCGTGAGCTACGGGAAACCCAGGGTGAGCTGGAGCAATGTCGGATGGAACGAGACGAATGGGAACAGAAGGCGCTGCAGGCGCACGTAGGCTCGGACGAAGCCCGGACGACAGCGGGAAACCTACGCCGAGAGGTAGAAGTTGAGCGGACTGCCAGGGAGATGGCGTTAGCCGAGCTACAGGCTGAGCGGGAGAAGTGCAGCAACCTTCAGTCCGTGTTGGAGGACTTCCAAGCTGGTAAGCTCGTGTTGGAGCCGTGCTCACGTTTATTGAACATCTAGCAGCAAAGGACCATGAGTTCAATCAGGCGACAAGTGGCTACGAATCACAGCTGCAGACAGTCACACAGTCCCTCGCAGAATACAAGCACCGGGCCTTGACGGCTGAGGTCAGTCAGTGATTTTGGTGGTCATATGTCACCTTATTTGACGCCCTGCAGACGAAGCTAGAGGAGCTATCGTCAAATAGTTCTAGAACACAAGACCTTGAGAGAGAGGTCAAAGAAAAGAATCTGCTTATAGGAAAGCTGCGGCATGAAGGTGACTTCTTTTTCATTTCCAGCTACACTCATTTGACGGTGAACCTTCATAGCGGTCATCATGAACGAGCATCTCATGGAAGCTCTCCGCCGCCTACGCCAATCATCTACGGACACCAATGTCGACAGGCGATTAGTTACGAATGTTCTTCTCTCGTTCCTGAATACGCCGCGCGGGGACACCAAGCGCTTCGAGATGCTTTCGCTTCTTGCAACTATATTGTCTTGGTCTGACGAGGAACGCGAGCGAGCAGGACTTCAGCAGAAGAGCGGCGCGATTTACGCTGTCTCAGCAGTATCGAGCCTATTCGGAAGGAACGCCACCGGATCTCCATCACGGGCAAAGGGACTTGAGCTTGACAAGACGGACGAGACTGAGGTGCGTTCTCTTCTGGACTATATACATCTTAATGCATATTTATTCTTGTTCAGTCCTTCTCCCGCTTATGGGTTGAGTTCCTACTTACAGAAGCCAAGTCGGGCGAAGAATCTAGGTCAGGATCTTCACCAGCCAAGTCATCATCATCATCATCGCGCTCCAATGGTTCACTTCCGACCACACCTACTCGCAGTACACGTCCACCGAGTTTCCTGTCTCCTCCCGGACTCAGGGGCACGAAACGACTGCCATCATTTACTGGTGCTGCGATGGTTAGCACCCCCGACTTGGTCTTACAGGCACCACCCCTGGGAAAGGGTAAGGAGAGGGCGGACTTGTGACTACTTACACTCGGACTATACTAGTTTGTTCTGTATATGGCTAATTTTTGGGAGTCTCATTACTTGGCACAACATCGTCAAGTAGCTTGGCGTGGAGTCAGTTGAGCATCTAAGCGGTGGATTGACATTGAATATTCAATATTGAACGGGTCGAAGTTCGAGCTGTGCACGCTTGGTGCGCGCAGCACCGCATTCGTGCCATTTCTAAATATCGGTCCATCTATCTAAATAATATAAATTTACATTACGTAAGTAATTAATTCCAATTGAAGAAATTCCACATTCTTCCGATGTGATGTGCGTCCAGTGGACTCTTCATGTCGGCTGTGCTCCTTCCTCTAATACCGCCTGCCATCTGTTCGTCTGATTGTCGCCACGCTCCTTTTTATATTCGAACGAGAAATTTGTCGTTCAGCATCTCCTCTGTCAGCATCTCCCTCTATTCTCCATGGCTACCATCGTCCGCACACAGACTGCACCACCAACCACTCTGCCTAACGAATCATCACAGGATAGGCGATGGCAAAGCCTCGAGACTAATATTCCCGCGCCTTTTCCGAGCCAAGCAGAGTGGGAGCAGGAGGATTTGCTACGGGAGCTCGAGAATGAAGAATTGACCATCGACAAGGTCGACCCATTCCATGACGAGCTCGACGGTCCAGCTACGAGAAGCAGTGCTACGAACGGGGAAGAGAGAGATGTCGAGAGTGTTGCTACCCGAGAAGTCAGAATCACAGCGGCGCATTCTGTCCTTGAGGGACTCCAGTGTTCGCATCTTCAATCGGTGAGCAGTTGTTTGCCCCAATTACGGCAGGTTGATCTGTGTTAGCATCCATCCAAGGGGCTTCTTCTTGGACATGCACTGCAGGACTTTTTCGTGTTCAGCATCACATTTTGACGGCCAACAGTAATTCTGAAACTTTTACAGGACATCATACCGTCTATTGCTCATGTACAGAAGTCATGTATCACTACGCTCAACGACCTATTATCCACAACCACTCATTGGCGTCCCATAATCCCCGATCGTCGACATTCCATGCCCCCACGGCCCCCATCTGACCTGGCCATCTCTATTCAACCGTCGTCCGCGCTCCATACACTAGTACTCAACTTACGCGCGCAAGATCCCACTTCCTCTGCTAGTCCTTCCTCGCTAGACACCAAAGATGATGCCGTATTGATGCATGAGTTGCAAGTCCGTATCGACCGACTCGCCGCTGCCCAGACACTTTCTCGACACGACGCCGTACTCGTTCGCACGCTCGCTTCACTTATAGGGCATTTCTTCAAATTGTCTACTCTTCAGCCGACCGCATCAGCGAGTAACTTGCCGCGTGTTGCCTCATGGAGCACTGCTGCCCCCACAGGTCCCTTTGATTCACTGACAGTCTTACGTCGAGAACTTAGCGACCTCCAGCTTGCGCGAGGCGACTCGGCTAAAACCAGTGACGGGATCCGCACAAGCGGAACCCCGGTAGAACAAGTCGAAATCGCTTTGCTCTGGGCGCATGTAGACGAAGAGTTGGAGCAAGTTCTCGCGCTTTGCAGAGCACGGACGTCAGATGCGGAACTCCTTCCGCCCGATTACGATGCCGCGTGGTATGATGAAGTAGGTGGCGAGGGACTCCCGCGGTACGAAGCAGGATCTGCTATGCTTACGGAGGAAGCGAAGGCAGGACCATCGTCACCAACGGAGATGCGTGTATCAGAGGAAAGACTCGCGGGGGGGAATGTGCTGAGCGAGAAGATGCGAATGGACCTCGAGGCGGTCACCCTTGCCATCGATAGGCTATATCTCGTCGCACCCCAGCTGCACGACCAACGCGTTGAATTGAAGCGGTCCAAGGTTGAGGAGATGGAGAAGGCTAGACTTGCAGGGCCGTCGCGTGAGAATGTGCGAGAAGGGAAGCGGCGTGCAACGGAGATAGATGATGTCAAGGACTTCGACCGAATCGTGGACATGATTGGACGCGCGTCAGATAGAAAGTTGGTTGACCAAGCGGTCGTGCTGGAAGGCGGGTTGAAGGCGAGGCTTGAGCGAGCACAGAAACGTGATCGTGAAAAGGTGCGTGTCCTTATCTCACAAAAATAGGTTATTCATCCTTTCCACACCAGCGCGATGCCTTTGTTGAGCAACTGATGCGGCATTCGCAGGCCGGCAGAATGCATTCACAAGATGCAGTCCGCACTCCGCCTGGCGCCGCACGCGACAAACTCAAGGACCCCAATGTCATGCTCACACTTCCGGAGTTTATTCGAGAGGCAGTCCCTGAGACTTTGCAGCTGAAGATGCAGATCGCTGATTCACAAGCAATGCTAACATTGCCGGAGTTTGTCAAAGAGCCTGTGCCTGAAAGTGCTATACGCTCCCCGCCTCGTCGCACGAGATCGGTGAAGGGGGCGAGGAATAGAAGTATGTCTGCGCCACCTCTAGCATGGTTACTTGGATCATCCTCAAGACCATCCTCAAGGCCGACTTCACCTGCCCCAGCTTCTCCAGTCGAAGTCAAGAAATCTCGGTCTTCTAAGATTCAGCGCGTCAGCTCTGCTATCACTGTTCCAGCGCTACAATGTAGGTAGGGGTATTCCGGAAATATGACCCGAGGTCTCATCTTTGTCTCTTGCACAGCACATCTGAATGTTCACTATGTCGCGGAATATCACGAGAACCTCCAGCACATCATCGTATTTCTGTCTGTCTCCGGTATAATTGCTGGTGTCAATCTGGAAGCGGAAGTAGTGCCTTCGTCAGGAGTGCCCGGCAAGACCAATGATGCCACGGATTACCTCTTGCTTAAATGTGGCCTTAGCACGTCGCCTTTCCTCCGTCTTCCAGCTCGTGTTGCTCCTGGTAAACAGACGGTGATGGTGTCTGGTCAACACTATGAGATCAAGCTTGCTGTGTCGAGCCCTATGGTCTCCAGTGACAACACTCTAGCACTTCTCGATGGTGATCGACTTCAAACCTTGCGGCCAACGAGTTATCTCTGTGCATCTTGCTCACTTCCCCTCGTGCAATGTTCGCAGTTGCGAGATTATCGCGACTTGCCGTCAGAGCATTGGGAAGAGCTAGTTGATGCTTGGATGTGCCATTCTGACCAAAAGCTTCACGAACACGTCTCGAAACATTCAAATGAAGGTTTCTGGCCAACTAGGAGTCGTGCATTGGTGGGAGGTAGCTACATCTTGTTTGAGCAATCTGTAGTCGTCTCAGGCAACCTTGCGCGTGTAGAGGAGTTGATTGAGAGAAAGGTAAGCAGCTGGCCATTTCTTATTCTTTATTTTATCTTCTCCATGCGGACGTCAAGAAGGCCGACATTGGGCTCCTACCAATGGCTTGTCATCACAATCATTGGCTAGCTATGGCAGATCCCCGAAGCCCTTGCCGGTTTTGGGGTTCGCGCTATCGTTTTGCTTGTGTCCTGTGCGACAGCAGGAATATTTCCTTCGGCTGATACATCCCGTCCAATATCAACAGCATTGCTGGTTGCTCGCTCAAACAACTCCCGTGTTGCTGAGGCTCACGTCTCGGGAGCTACCTGCGAGAGCGCATTGACCTCTTCCAATGTTTTTGTTGCTGAATCTAGTACTGAGAATCAATTTCTGTAGCATGTCGATGATTGGCAACGCGTACGTTGTATCTGTGGGGCCATTGTCGGGCGTTGCCAGCAACACCGGCCAGCCAAGATGCCACCGTCGGTTGTGTATCGATTGGCGAAGTATGCTATTCGCCCGCTGAGTCCGACCATCGAGTATGTCGTATCATATAGTTGGGGTGCTTTGTCTGACGTTCTGTAGGCTCCCCAAAATTCCATTATCTGCTTTCATAGCTGAAGACATGAACGAATTTGTCCACGCGCATGCAACGTACCGCTTTATCATATTTGATGAAGAAGAGGAGCGACCCCGAATTCTTGTAAGTAGCATACTGTGCGAGTCTTCTGCCTGCTCAGCTTGTCTTGTAGGTCTGGTTGTTCAAGCCGAGCATGCGCATGGCGTATATAACACCGACAGAATACATCATTCCGAAATCTGGCTCAATTCACGCGGCGAAGGTCCTCTTCAAAATTCTTGGACCGTCCACCGTCTACTCAGATCTACATAGGTGAGATTCTGGTGCAAATAGATGCTTTCCCATGTTAACTTTCACAAAGGATCTTGAGTAAATACCCCGGATTCCCCCAGGCCGAACACCTACATTATCCCTTGGACATTTGCTGGCGCCTCGCTGGCCTATTGAAAGAGAGCAATACTGGCTATCCCAAGACCATGCGTACAATGACTGACCTTGATGTCGGTTGGCTGCAGCGTGCGTAGCTGCTGATGCATTATCTGATATATACTTTCCCTTGGCCGAGTGGATGAGTGGATTTTTAATTCGCATATCGGAGCTGTCGTCTTGTATAGTGTATATCCTTGTATACCATTCTTGAGACTCCAGGCTGGACCCTGCCGCTGTTTGGTCCTCATAACTTACATCGTCTTGTTTCTTGTAGACTGCATCTTGGCACCAAAGATACATCCGTAATGTTGATCGCTTAATACTACTTAATGATCCGGTTGTAGAGTGAATGAAGACTACCCAAGCAGGCTATCTCGTGAAGCACATGTCAGCTTGCCTCCAAATATCATTCAAAATGCACCACCTGAAATTTCATGCAAATAGAAAAAATAAAATAGGCAACTACACTACAGACAATATAGATACAATAACGCCACAACAGATCTACACTTCCTGGCTGTCCTTCTTCCCTTTTTGCGTTTTGCTGGGCAAGAGCTATTATAACACTCAGCCTATATCCAAACAAAATGGGGGAGGATAACGAACCTCAGGGTTAATGAATGGCACAACACCACCTTGCGAAATGATGACGTCCCCAAGAAGTTTCTGCAGCCTAAAAGAGTGATCAAAGACGAGTGGAATACGATTGAGAAGCAAACTTACTCCTCGTCGTTTCTGATAGCGAGCTGGAGGTGTCGAGGGATTATGCGTTGCTTCTTGTTATCGCGCGCTGCATTGCCCGCAAGCTCGAGGATTTCAGCCGCAAGGTACTCAAGAACAGCTGCAAGATAAACTATTACAAAGTCAACGAATGAAGATTTAACTAAATGTGGGAGAAAATACCTGGTGCACCGGCACCCACCCTTTGAGCGTAGTTACCCTTCTTCAATAGACGATGGACACGACCAACGGGGAACTGAAGGCCAGCTTTTGCAGATCGTGATTGGGACTTGCTGGCGACATCACCCGAAGATTTGCCAGACTTGGACTTTCCGCTTGTCTTGCCAGACATTGTAGTAGAATAAGGATGAGGAATCAAGAGTAGATGGAGAGGATGAGAGCAAGGACGACAAGGCTAACCGCAGAGTTGGAGGAGTGCATCACAGGGTGCATGATAGTATTTATACCAACGAGAGCTGGTTTGCAGCCACAGACGCGGTCGATCAAGACATCACGTGGTCATTGTTTAAGGCGTTCAACAAAATAAGGTTCAATGCGTTGACGCGTTGCGCCAAACAAGCGTAACGCGTCCTTATAAATGACTTCGGTTGTGTCTCCTATGTCCATCCATACCTCTCTCGTTGCTCCTCGCGTCCCATTTGCTCCCCTACGCTCTCAACTTACTTTTCGGTAACAATGGCACCCAAACCCGCATCTACTGCCGGAAAGGCTCCCGCTTCTACCGCCTCTAAGGCACCTGCGAAGACGACCGAGGGTACAAAGTCTGCAAAGAAGACTTCCAAGCCTGCAGCGGCTTCAGGAGACGAGACCAAGAAGAAGAGGAGAAAGACTCGCAAGGAGACTTATTCTTCTTACATCTATAAGGGTGTGTTGCCTACATTTTTCATTAGTGTGTATCTACTAACACTTCTTGAAGTGCTCAAGCAAGTGCACCCCGACACAGGTATCTCGAACAAGGCAATGGCTATCTTGAATTCGTTCGTGAATGATATCTTCGAGCGTATTGCGACCGAAGCCTCCAGTAAGCATTAGTGAGAGCTATAACGTTATGCGGCTAACTGTTATATAGAACTCGCATCTTATTCCAAGAAGTCGACGATCTCTTCGCGAGAGATTCAAACTTCAGTCAGGCTGATCCTTCCGGGGGAATTGGCCAAGCATGCGATTTCAGAGGGTACAAAATCAGTAACGAAAGTGAGTTCTTAGTCTAGTTTGCACTGGAGTATAGATCTGATAGCAAATGCACTTTAGTTCTCAAGTGCAGGGGCAAAGTAAATCTGATTTCGCTGCGATTCGTGTCTTGTTGTACTGTAGTTTGTATTCTTTATTTATCCTTAATTTCATCATAACGGGTGTCTGATACATGTAGTGATTAATGCTCTGCAAGTGATCAAGCCGATAGTAGCTCATTTATCTGAGGGGCTCAGGCATACATTTGCGATCAGGTATGGATCTTTGGTTTCTATGATTGTGGAAGCCAGCGTGCTTCATGTGTGTCTAGAGACAGTGGTGCTCCTTTCTCTAATACGGGCGCCTGCGCTAGTATAGCAGCGTGCCTGATGGCTGTTGTGTCCTTCAACTGGACGCTGGGAGAGCCTTTGCTTCCCGTAGACCGTGAGGATGTGACTAACGCAGCCAGTTCCTCATGAGGAGGAACAGTCCGTGGAGGCATTGGAATACCTTCACCGAAAGCTAACGCTGGCTCCAAGCGACCCAGAGATCGAATCCACTGGCCAACGGCGGCGAGGGATACCCGCACTTCCCATGATCCTCCTTCCTATACTCAGTCAGTATTCAGTATATCGAGACCATGGGTAGTTGAGCTACCTTGATCGTCTTGCATAGTGCTGCGTTTATCCCGAAGGCCAGAAGATATCCCGCAGCATGGTCCAAGGCTTGCATTGGGAATGGTTTAGGCATGAGCGGTGCAGCTTTATCCTCCCTGTACGCTGCGTATGCCTGAGCCTCAGCCACATTAAAGCCTGAGGCTGTTTGCACCAACGAATCGAACTTTTCCAACGGCGCTGAAAATGAGACCGGCTGGCTGAGAAAGTGCAATGATTCGACTCACACCTCGTCTATCTTTCCAGGGCCCTTCCCAGCCATACGCAGTTAGGCTAGCGTACACGATGCCTGGCCGAGCTTTAGCTACATCCTCCGGACCAAAGCCTTTGTCGCGCAATCCGCCTGGACGATATGCTTGCAGGAAGACGTCAGTGTCTTTCACGAGAGTAGCCATCGTCGCATGATCCTTGGGATCAGTAAGATCAAGCTGTGTCGCGCGCTTTCCACGCGACGTATCGGCATCGAGGAAAGGTAAGGCGGGTAGGTTGGGGGATGTGACGAGCAAGACGTCGGCACCATGGGCTTGAGTTACATTAGGATGGTGAGAGAGTAGCGCGAAGAAGCACATTACCGGCGAGGGTTCTACCACAGACAGGACCTGCGAGCACTCTAGTTAGATCTAGAACGCGGATACCTTCCAAAGGCCGATTGTATTGTCCGTCGATCTCTCGCTTGGGCGCTTCGCCTATCTTAAGGAGTTGCACGGGAGGAGTGTTTGCGAGTGCTTTTCCTTGCGGATGCTCGTCCCATTCGTCGAACGAGCGAAGAGCGGTTGCGACCATCTTCTGAACGGACGCTTCCGTCTCGAGGTCGACAGCATTCCACTGGAGCAAAGCATCGGCGACGGCTTGTCTTGTAGGCTTGCACTTGAGTATGTTCAAAAGGCCTTGGCGATGACTATCATAACGTGCTTAGAGTCTCCCCACATACAAACCACAGGCCACATACTGAGGGAAGTTTGTATGAAGACGGACATAACTGTTGTCTTTCGTCTTGTACAACCCAGCGATGTCATCAAACAAGGTGCCCGATGGAAGTTTCCCATCAATCGCATACCATGCCTCGCTCTCTGCATGATGCTAAATTCGTATATGCTCTATATGCTCTAGGGTGTAGCATTTACTCACTAAATTCAAGCACGGCGTGTCTTGCGTTCACGGAAACGGTCTGTTCGACATCAGTCCTGAGCTGGTGGAACTCGGCGGCACTTAGGCCTGACAAGCCGATCGCGGTCTATCATCACGTCCCCCTGAAAAATCAGGTGGATGTTCGGCAACATGATGACTATATACTCGCCTGTGCTGCTGTTCCCAACTTGAAAGAAGAGTCGACCGCGGGATCAGGATCTCTACTGAGGTGCAACCGGGACAAAGATTCAGAGGGCAGGTCGAGAGCATGCCACAGAGGTCGAGCAGCGACAAGGGGATCTTCCATGGGCTGGATAGGCGTCACTGAGATCAGAGTCAATGCTTGATATCGCCACTGGTGAGTTTTAACTAGCCAGGCCGAGGCTCCTTAATATATGAACGAATGCAGCTCGGAGCGCGCGTTACTAACAGTGCTATCGCCCGAAGTACCGATGTCGAACCACTCATCTTGGAGATTACATGTTCGAAGAGCAGAAAGAATCACAAGTACCTTGAAAGACACACCTGAAATCAGCTTGAACGAGTCTTAGCTCTCAATAGACTATAAGCCTAGCCGATTGAACGAGTCGCAGCTAGCAGCCCCAATCACATGTCGGTGTTAATACAGCCTGTGTTTGGGGCCCGATCAAGCCGCGCCTCACCTTCAATTGCGACACTCACTGCTATCGTCACTACGCCCGTGGCATGACACACGACGGGTCAGACTGTGGTAGGACAGCCTCGTGAAGGTGTGAGATCGACATAAGGAAGATTCAAATTACATGACTTTACCTGGCGTGACTCATCGCTTCTCTAGAACGCATTGTTAGCAAGCACTGGCTGACGCTTGCGCTGCTTGATGATGATCAGCTTCAAGTTGAACAGCAACACGGTGATGAGATACTAAATACAGGAAGTCTCAGGCCTTGCAAGTCGGCAACAAGTTTGAGCCCACAGTTTATGCTGCAGGAATTTTGAAGAGATATGACCTGGGTCTTCCGGACGTCGACCACGGTACGTAGGTAAGTCATTCAGCGTCTAGATGGATGTATTTCACGTGTCGCACGCAGCTGTGCGGCTGCATCATGATTGCATGATATTGTGTAACCCGCCTTGACTGTTCAACATTCCATATTCAATCGTCCCAAGCTTTTAGCATACGGTGAGACTCGAGCAGCCAAATACTGGTAAATGTTCGAAGCAGTATCGGAGGATATTTAATGACGCGTTTTTTAAAATATTTATTTTACTTTTCAGGCTTTTATTGAAGGGCACGATACTGTGATAACGAATCCCCGTTTCCTGAATCGATACTGCCAGCATCGAATTGCTGTCCATGGAATATCACCAACATTGACCGTTGCTTATGTCGAGCCTGAGGCTTTCTACCTTCTGATGCTGGTACATCAATGATGGTTGCGCTGTATTGAATGCTCTGCTCAATAAAAAGCCAGACCTCACCTTGAATACGCTAGGCTGTTGCAAGCGACGACCCACTTTCAGTTTTTAGTGGTACTGAGTAGTGAGTTATTTCAATCTTGTGTTCAGCTTCATTGAGACTCAAAAACTGCAGCCCCTTCTATAGCATTCCTCTAGTACATATTCAATATGATCTTCAAATTAACTCCCATTTTATTTGTCGGTTTGTGGTTGTGTCTCTCGGGTCTCAGTGCACCAATCAGGTGCGCATACATTTCTCCATTACATCACATGTTGAATTAATCGTCCCAATTCACAGTGGGGATGTCATGCTGACTATCAAGCGAAATGATATCGTCGTCAACGCTGCGTACGGCTCTTGAATCTGGCCTTTACCTCCTTCTGACTTAGACATGATAGTGATTTCAGAGGACTTCACTTCGGTACTTTTGGAGACAGTATTGTTGACGTAGAGCGTCTGCCAGCCGATCAGGAAATCAAAATCCGCGCAAATACCATATGTATGTGTGCGAGTTATATTTTTGGTCATATTGTCATATTCATGCCCGTGGTCCTACTCTCCAATTCGTCAGCAACTCATCCTGTACAAGACAATCACCGGCAAGACACGAGCTTCAGGCGCTACACGACGAATAGTCGCAACCGCGCCTCGATGGTTTCAGCACGTCCCGTGCACACTCAGGCACCCAGGTCTGATGCTGCATCCCCTAGAGAACGTTTTAGGGGCGAAAATGACATTCCCTCGGAGTTTAAAGGCATTGGTTTTGGTACACTGGGCACAACTCCCGACGACATCTCGTCCCGATAGTAGATGTGTTCATCGCGATGTACCAGTAGATGACAAAAATCCAATGATAGTGCTTATGTGCCCGTGTCGACGCTTCTTTCTTTGCTGCAACGTATTTATAATCTTCCCATTAGAAACTGGCGACCGTACAGCTATCTCAGCAAGTAGACATGACGGCTATATCTTCCCTTTGGGTCTACCCATTGCAATTGCACACACCTACATAGACTGGGGATTGATCAAAGCCGCAAGACGGGGATGAATGAACACCCTCTGTCTATGGGCCATATTTATAATAGTATAGAAGCATCATTCTGGACATTCAATAACAATCAAATACACTAGTAGCTGAGTCTTCAAGCCTTAGGAATCAAACTTTCAGGAATGCCAGTCGTTGCTCACAGCCTCGCACTGTACATGATCTTGATCATGATGGTGTTGCTGTCAAGAGACTGCCTGCTACTGTCACCTGTGCGATCGCACCTCGGATGCTTAGATAAGCAGCTGCGAATCCGAGTCTTCATTCGGCCTTCACCAACTCAGTCCGACTTCAAGTTACCGTCAACCTCCTGAACATTGAAAACCTCGCGCTCAATGCACGTTTACTAGGGTTTAATTTTTCCAGGTGGGTAGCCCACTATATTGGCCATGTGCGTTGGCAATGATAGGATTTCGTATGTGATGAGATTCTTGGGAAGTCTTACGGTAACATTTACAGAAAATATCAGAACTAAGACTGAAAAGGTGTTCTCGACAGTTGTGACAACAGAATATAACACAGTGATCAGCTGATGAGAAGATTCGCTCGGTACGATGTCGCCAAGTACACCCCAATTTTGCACGAGGGACTGGGGGTGCGGTCGAGCCACACAATTTATTCGTTTGACTTTTATGCAACGAGTATAAGTAGGAGGAGCGCAAAACTCATGCTCTAAGTATACTTTAAAGGTGAATCCATGTAATCCTATAGTTCCTCTCATTTGAGGTGCCAAGCTAGTCATTCTACGGCATATAAGGTGAGTCTGCTCCCTAATGAGGCCTTTCCTCTTGGCGAAGCGTTATTATACTATTGAGATCTTGTATCTACCAACAAGGGCATCTGGAGATTCAGGTGATATACTTGTGTGTTCGGCACGGTGAGGCTCATAACAGCTTGAACACGACGTCCGGCCTGATTTGGCTACTTAACTCCTGTCATAATCTGACACCCTGAGTCGCCATAATCACTGGGAAACATCAGTCTCTTTTTTTGTGAGGATTGCTGCGCTGGCATATTCTTTCCTCCTCATGCTGTCATTGGCCATTCCCTTGAAGCTGTGTCTGTTACTACAACTAGTAAGCTGGGCCATCTTATGTGTTGTTTCATACATTTACAGTTTGTACCCATAGCTATCGTTGTTTACGAGCACTGCATTACATTCGACACAGAGGTGGAACAGTACTGGAAGAATAAATATACATGGGCAGTGCCACTATTCTTCGTCAACCCCTCCCATTCCAACTGCTTCCTAAGATATAGTGTATCAAGTATTGAGAAGTAAAATATCGGCTGCGTTCACAGATGACCCATCCGAATTCAGGTGAAGATGCAAACACTCAGGCGGAATCGACTCACCATCAGTCAAACGGTAGCTGCCGGAGATCACTGGGGTCCGCGTATTCGTACAATAATCAACTGTTCATCTGCCATTGGTATGCATCTGTCAACAATTTTCGAAGACGCTCGACTGATAGATGCTTTGTTATGTCTGAAACGCTCCTCCGAGTCCCGGTGGTGCATAATGATGAGAACATTTTTGCGACCACGGCATTATCTAGATATACAACAACCCAAGTAACAAGCTGACGGTTGCTTTTCTTGGACGTCTATGATGCTAGGAGATGCTACGGAACTCAGCCCTCTTGCCCAAAGAGGCCGAGTCAATGTCGAAACACTGGTGTAGGGCCGCTGCAGTGGTACGCACCTTGCCGTCAAGCGCACAATGCGAGCGACGAGACTTGGTTGCTGCCGATGTCATTCAAGTTTCCTCTGAGTCTCGACTGCAGACGGATGCAAACTCCTGACGTGTGTGCTGTATAAAAGGACAACGTTGAGCTCAGTATCGCTGTAGTGTCGCGAGCGACATTCCCGAAAACAGGTACTGGATAGTAAGTTGATTCCGGAAACCCTCATAATGTGTATGGGATTTACACATGCACGCAGCCTTGCTACTCCTCATACAACTTATCTGTCACGACCATGCAGCTTCATATCCATCCTATAATCATTATTGCTTCATTCTTCTGCCTCGCAGTGTTTAGCGCACCGATATCAAATGTTCCATCCTCTGTCCCAGTGGTATCCAACTGGTCTTTCGGCCAGAGAAATCCTTATACCGAGCTTGGATTTGGTACCTACAGATTTTTCCAGTCTATGTAGCATGCTAAACGACCACGCGCTAGGAACGTTGATACCCCGGGAAGGCAGAAACATTGACGCGACCAGAAGTAGCAGGGCAGGTATGTCCGAACAGCTCGTTGTCGAATTTCGGGCCTAATTACGACCGTACTGCGGCCGGGTACAGAGTCAAACTCCGCGCAAGCCTCCGGCCGTTACAATCTCCCACATCTGCGCGACCTTAAATCGGCGCCCCCTCATGATGATGTCAAAGGGATACAAACGCAGTCTATATCCTTTGGCAGAGGACAAGAGCGGCCATATACTAGGCGATACGAGTCGATCACAGTCGACGCTGACGCTTTTCACAATCTTAAATTCGGTGGAGGAGGTACTTCAGGATCAATTGCGGAGCCGAGCACCGTTCTCAACGATTCCGACTGGCGAGGTGAGGCAGGAGATACTTCAGGGTCGTCTGCGGGCTCGAGCACCGTCACCACTGAGTGGGAAGCAAGCAGTGGTCAAGTTGCTTCTCATAATCAAATGCGTTGAGGATATGTGGGAAACGGGATGGATTATTCGTAGAATTGACCATGCTTTGGTGCTATTTTCTGGGGTGAAAAGCAACTCAGATCAGCGGATTTGATAAGTGTTGCTGAGGGGGGGTAGGGAGTCTTCGCACGTACTCATGCAAGCAATGCGTATCGGTATCGGTATCGGTATCTTGACGTCCCGATATCGATACCAGCATTTGTTACTCCATTGAACCCCAATCCATCACATGTATGGGCATTTTCCTAGGAGATGTAGCCCATAACTACGCCATCATGCCATTGTATACACAGAAAATGCTGCGTCAAGAATGAAGGCTGCATTTTTACTCATGTAAGCGATATCAAGCCGATGTTATGATGATGACGACTATATCTCTCACCCTGCCAAGGAACGCGGCGAAGAAAACAGGAGCTCAGAGCGACTGAACTGATTTTATGTCAACTTTCTGAGGCCGAGACGTGATCTTGCTTGTGGAAAGACCTGCTTATAAGAATCGGGCTCACCAGAAGCCAGCTATATCGGCAAGTAGGATGACTCGGTGGTCATTGCTTTGTGGGATTGGAGCCTTGTACAGATCAAGAGCTGCTGGGTCACAGCCAGCTACGCGTGCCCATTGAGTGAGGCTGTACCATAGCTCCATATCATGTCCATCTGAAACGCACTTGGAACTACTGAGACCTTGGAACCTCCTCAAGCATCATGCCATAGTATAGCATCAAGCGACATGCAACTATACACGGTCAGAGGCGCAGCCGATGTTCGCCACGCATAGAACGGTATCGATCGCACAGTTCTCTACGAGATAGCTGCATCTGATACACGTCAATAATTTGATATCAAGTTATCCTGTGGGCGTTTTGAGGAGATAGCATTGGAAACTTTGACGCTACAGCTAATGACCCTGGTCGAAATGACACAAATTTGAAAAATGTAAATCGCACCATTACTAAATAAGAAGAATCTTAAATGTTCGCCATGTTGTTGCAAAGGGGACACTCAAACGTACACTGGGGGTACTGGATAGTGAGTTGTTCGTACTTATGCGAGTCAGATAGCCTAACACACCTGCAGCTTTCCTACGGCCCATCCTAACATTCCATCGCATAAAAGCATGAGATTCCGAGTCATAACACTCCATATCCTGCCCATCAAAACCTTAGCAATATTCACCGTAACGGCGAGCGCATCATTCGCGTCCTTTACCCCTCCTGTATGTCCAACATCGGTAGAACTAGAACTCACTATTCCCCTGTAGCCATCTAGATCTCGTTTCATGTTCCCATTTTGGTGGTGCTGCGAGTTTTGACAAATTCCAGAAAGACATGCCAATCGACACCATACTTCATGCTCTGAGTGCACGTAGGTAAGAAGAGGTAGCCATTGACAGAATCCTCGATATTCGAGGCATGTGCCACTCTCTCCTTCAAGTCATACTCCGGATCTCGTTCCCAGACTCGTTATCACACTGTCTGGAGCACTAACTCCATGTTTGTCAGTATAGTATAGGAAGCGGCGCCCATACGACGACGGGATTCTCAGACCGCCGTCGTCGTCGATCCGAGCGAATTCAGCGGTGAATTTGACTTTGGTCATGGGATTGCTGATATGCTATCGTTGAATGTCGGACGTCATACCCTTGATGGTATGCATTAAGGACAGGGAGAGTCAGAAGAGACTGGGAGATCAGGACGGAATGATGCAGTGACTGTGAGCTGTAGGCAACTGGTGAATAACAGCTCGATGAAGAACGGCTCGTATCAGTTAAAATTTATGGCTTTTATGGACTGGAAGTATATCTCCTTATGCATTGACGCACTGCTCAAGTGGTCGCAGAATTCTGCCCTCGAATACGTAATCATACATTGAACTTCTGCCTGAAATCATAGCTTAGCGCGCGGGTTACAAAATCGTTGAAAATGGGCACATACCGCCGTATAAGCATAATTGTTCTCCGCACCAATCCGGATGACGGGTTTGAAGAACGTGCAATCTCCGGGTAGAGACAGCGTACAGACACGCGGTCAGCAAAGACTCTAGCAAAGTGCAAGCAGGACGACGCATCGTGATAGACTCTGCCTAGTCGAGAAACACGGCCGAGAGAGTAGGATATCGATGAGAGCGGTAAAAGCTGGGGCGCGCCTGGAATTCGTAAAATGGAGCCAGCCAAAAAGGCATCTTATTGTCAGCTCAGACTCCAGAGCCTCAAACATCGGAAAACCCTATAACGCGATCTCTAGCCATTAACAAGAACTGCATCATTGACCTCCAGTTAATGGGAGGAAAATCGACTCGACAACAACCTGCAGGCAAACACCAAGACACACTACACAGCTTGAGACGTTGAAAGCACAGATTGACTCTGGCAGGACAGGAGCAAGCTTTGGAAAGGCTTAGAGCTAGACCGATCGAATTAGGACTTGAAGGTAGCAGAATGAGAATGAGTGTGCATCTCGCAAACGCTTACGTACACACAACATGGCTTCACGGCTCTTCACGACCGTGAGATTTCTCGGAAGATGGCCCGGGAAACCGGCGACAAGGAACAGAACGGAGGTGCATTCAATTGGGCGTGTTCACTGACAGTGACGTCTCCGAGTCAGTCCACTCAGGATTTCCGTGCCGGTCCTTTCAATAGCAATGTCAGCGATTCTAAGAAACGGAGAATCGCGCCTCGGACGGGTCGCCGTACGTGTCTTCAGTGCCAATTTCAATTCGTGCACTCGCATTGGCGACATCAGCGGATAATGCTGTGGGACGTCGCTCGGTGCGCTTCCAAATTGAAATGGCGTCCAAAGCATTTCCTGCTATTTACGTACACGCATGCAGACAAGACAAGTATCGGGATGCGACACTAAGTGTGGAGACAGCAGTGGCGGCAAGGCTTCGCGTGAGTCCTTCGCTTACAACTCCAGAAGTCGAATGATATTAGCGGCCAAGATACATCCGCCATCCTGCGAGTCGAAAGCGGCGCACTCATTAACTGCAAAACCTGACCATGGGGCCAGGAGCCCTCGTTGCTTTCCCCTTGCCGAGCGAGCCCAGGCAGCTGTGGCTTGGTGGTTCACGTCGTGACGGCATCAAGGAACGTCCCGTGCCCCCGCGCGGACTCGCTGCAAGCTTGCATCTCCCAGCACGATCACAACGGTGTAAGTCGCGGAAGCACCCACCGAAGATACGGTAGCTATTGTCGCCCACGCTGTCGCCGAGCCCGATCTGCCAATTTCTGGCCAATGAGATTTCATGGAATGGATCAACCAGACCGCGAGTGGATGGCGTCGAATCATTAGGGTGGTCCAGGGTGGTCCGGGGCCCCGGGGGAGAGGTAACCTCAAATTTTTCCTTGTCACTTCTGGCGTACATATGCACGGCAGAAGGCACAAAGATTCGAACGCTACGGCGCTATTGCTCGGTGGGGCACCACCAGGCAGCTGCAGGAATCTGCGCGTGGAAGCTCCTCAATCTTTGTTTTCGTGCCTGCGTGAAGTGGGCATAAATATAAAAATGCTGCTCACACCGATGCGGCCGTAATTCATATAGACAGATTTGAGTCTGCAGTGTTGATTATACTGCAGTGCAGGCGCGCTGCGCGGCGGCTAGCTGATGATATCTTTTATGAGCAATGCAGCAAAGCACTGGGGAGAGATCACGCGGTGCCGGCTGCGGGCGGATGAGGCGTTTGACGATGGCTTTGTCGGAGGAACCGGAACTGGACTTGACGATCTATTTTGGCCATAATCATGCTTAAAGCTGGATGACGCAAAGGCTTAGCTAAAGCCTCAGCGCACGAGACGGAATCAAAGATGGTTATGGCGTTGTAGAAGCCATCCGATGCGCCCGTACAGTACGCAGGCCTGCAAAGGGAGGTTACAAAAGAGCGGGTGACGTCAATAACCTCGGGCTATTATACGGCAATCTTCTGATCTCGCGTACGGAGGAGGCCATCTCCCGAGGCTCGACTTTGGGCGCTTGTGTGTGGAAGGCAGAGTCGGGCGACAGTCGGCGACGACAGGAACGGAAGTCCTCCTCGCTCGCCACTCTCTTTCTTTATTTCCGCCATGTCGTGACTCCTTCACTGGACCCGAGTGTGTACAAATACCGCCTTTCCCGCCTCAGCAGCCCGCAGCTGTTGCCCTCTCCTCCTCCGCACCCTTCCAATCCTTCGCCCTCTAGCAGCTCTTGAGCCCCATCCCCAGCCACACCACGACCACCATGTCCGCGACCACCCATCGTCTTGCCCGCTATCCGACATGGCTCACCCACTGGCTTGGCTACCGTGCGACGCCCCACCACAAGGTTCCTGAGCCCCTTGTCTGGATGTGGTCTTGGATCGCTGCGTTTGGTGGTCTCTCCGTCCTCCAGGCGCTTTTCGGCCACTCCAAATACTTTATCGACCGCAAGGTCCCGCCCGTCGTCGCGTCTTATGTGAGTCCCAACCTACTCCCTGCATCGTACACACAACTCACCTCGCTTGTGTACCCAGGGCGCATCTTGTGTCCTTATTTACGGCGCCATCGAGGCCCCGCTCGCCCAGCCCCGCGCGTTCATTGGCGGGCACTTCATCGCAGGCCTCATCGGACTCTGCATCACCAAACTCTTTTCCCTCTCCCCGCACTTCGAGTCCCTCCGCTGGCTCGCCGCCGCACTCAGCACCCCCACCGCCATCGTTGCCATGCAGATCACCGGCACAACCCATCCGCCTGCAGGCGCGACCGCGCTTCTGCCCGCGATCGACGACACCGTCTGGGCGATGAGCTGGTACTATCTCCCCGTCATCCTCCTCTCCTGTGCGCTGTTCCTCGCCATCGCCCTGCTCTTGAACAACATCCAGAGGCGGTACCCGATGTACTGGTTCAAGCCCGTTGTAGCAATCCCGGCAAAGCCGGAGCCTGCCCTTGGTGCGCCAGATGATGATGCACCGAGCACGACGTCAAACGAGGAGGCGTCGGTCGCCGCACCTGCACCAGAGAAGACGGGCCCGGAGGCCGTATAGAGTGCTATGCATGTCTTCGTTCTCGACGTATTTTCCGCTTTTGCGCGTATGTCCCATCCCATCCTCCTCCGTGTCGTACAGTGCTATTCGCGACTCTGCGACTTCGTATATATACCCTGCTGTGCTCAGAATCGCATCCCAAAAGCCTACGCATATAATGTCCTTTCTTTGCATCCATGTATACGTACATCCCTTCTCAGTGGACTGCGACAGTCTTTGTATGTACTTTAGTATTCTAGCTGGATCTTGGGCTCGAAGCCATGGGGACAGTCATAATTCAGTCATCTTGCATCCATGAATCCCTGTAGAGCAAATTTTAAGTAACCTTATAACTTCATTGCAAGTGGCGGATTCATTATTTGAATCGTGCGTAAGTGTTAAATAGTCGTTTTTAATCGGTCGGGCTACTAACCTTCAAATTGAAATTTTGAGCATCTTTTTCCTGCTCTCTCTTGTCCGTCTCTCCCTCTGTTTCTCTTACAGTCACTCGGATCCAAACCCGACCAGCATGGCGGAGCGGCGTCCCGAGCAGACGTCGGCGAATGACGGACCTATGAGAGACGCGCGCGCTTTTACCTGAAATCATCGGACTGGAATCGGAACGCATTTGTCGGACGGTGAATGACAGGACTCTCTCATGAACTCACATGGTCTGCTAGTCTCTACAAGTCTCTAGCTGAAATTAGAACCGTATTACAGCGTGACCATGATCGTGGGTCTGGTTCCTACTGCCAAGTACAAGGCATAGTGCCCTCCTCGCGCTCTTGCACCGACTCGCCGTGCTGTGAACCACTCTCAGCTGCAGAAGACTCCTTCCCCATCTCGAAGAACGTTGTCAGCGAGCCGACCCAAGCTCCCCAAGTTCGTCCTACAAGTTCGTAGTGCAGGTTATCCGTCATCCGCTGGGCGGACGTTCGCGCCATGCGGAAGTAGATGCTCGAGTATCCCCTATGATCACTACGGGGCGCGGGGCGGGATTGACTGGCGCACAAGTGACTGAATCATGGGTGACGAGGCAACAACTTGGAAATCGAAGAGGATTGGAAAGTGCATGATTGAGAAAGCAAAGCTAGAGGGTTGCAGGTGCGTTGCTCATTAGCCTGACTCGGATTTCGTTGCATTGAAGCAGCTTGCTACCCAGCACTCGCCGTTTAGTTAATGATCATACGAAACCGTCGCACGCGCCAAAATAACGGTCGTCGTCCTGACAGTCCGTCTTATATGCACCCTCAAAAAGTGAAACCTCCTTCCCGCTTCAACGTATCGCCGAGTTGCTCGATTATACGACGCCGGCGCGCACAGCTGTGCAGGCCAGGTTGCTTTTGACACTTCCATACGCTGGGAAAGGAGAAATTTCAGTTTAGTGATATGTGTTTATGCACCACGACAGTGCCGCCGGCTGAGATGATGATATCTTTGCGAGATAGGAATGGTACTTGGGACCACTGTGAAGTGCATGACCCATGTGAAGGTACGTCTGCTTGTTTGTCATTTTGTTCGTAAATGTAACACCAAGGGGAGATAGCTACATAATTGCCATTAACGTCTGTCTTTTGGGCTCCTATGTCTGGGTATACGTAGCATCTCGATCGATCGTCAAACGCGCATCGGTAATTTGACCGACGGCCGCGGCCGCGGGGTATCAAGCTTCAAGCTTCAGAAATAAGCCAAGGGAAATCAAATTCAAGATTCGCGAAGGGCTCGAGGCTCGGCGATACTATTCGAACACGAAGATAAGAACCGAGTCCGTGGAACTTGCGATAACACCGGCCGTAACGACCGGACGCGGTAACCTCTCAAACCTCAACGCTGAGATTGCTCAGTTACGCAGACTCGCTGGATACAACTAGTGCGCTCGTCTTTGGTTGATCTGCGTATCAGCACGGAGATATTGCAGGTGGCACCAAACTGCTAGTCATGCCTGATCTAGATTGTGATGGTGTGTTTATGCTTTTCTATTTTGCTTGGGGCCTGACTCCTTCCGCAGATTGATAGGAAATGCACATAAAAAGCTCAGGAGAAAGGAAGGGCATTTGAAATCAAGGCGCTGCACTCTCTGAAAACATCGAACCAGATTCATTCCCCTCGCATACGACTACGCAAGTATCCGAATAATGTCAAGGAGCGCGCAAGTCATCTTCTGCCTGAAGACATGAAGTGGGAGGATAGAACTGAAGACATAGACGAGGAGATAGGTGGATGAGACGTACCATCCAGCCCATTCCGATTCCCTCACCGAAGCGTAGGCCGCCGTAGCCCCCTTCGAACCACTGAGGAGCCCTTCGCTGCAGTGCGTCGTCAAACGTGGATCGTTCTGCAAGGTCGTAGTCAGGTCGGCCATAGACCCCTAGGCGGACGTCGACGCTGCGGAGATGCACATCCGAGCGCTCCCTGCGATTACCAAAGTCTGAGATTGAACACATCATGTATTCCAAAGCCGGAAGCGAGCGCACCTAAGGGGCGCGCAGAAGACCATGGGACGCAGTAGAAGAATGACAAAGAACTCGAATGCGCAGAGAAGTGTCAAGCGCATCATGGTCTGTGAGCAATGGCGTGGGAATCAAGAATGTGCAAATGGGCTGAGAATGAGGTTGAAGGTATGTCACCCTTAAGCCATCCTTGGATGCCGTATGCTCAGATTAAGAGCTACTCACTATCCAGTACCTGACGATTGAAGGGGCTTTAGAGGGTCGCTCGCGACAGCCTGGTGACCATCCTGGTCGTTTGTCTTTTATGGACGCAACAGCTCTCAGGTCCACCTATCATCACTACATTCGATAGTTGGACGTCAGCTCACACACACAGCTGCGCAGGCCGAGCAGCCTCCGACATTGCTATCCGTCCGTGCGGGCGCAGAGTCAGTGCTGTGTTGTCCTTACGTTACACTGAGCGCTAGGGCCTGAGAGACTGATGGGCCCAGTTGGCAAGATGGGGACCGCATTGCGGTGCATACGCGCGGATGGCCTTGCAGATTTCCCTGTCGTTGTTCACTGGCCGACAGCACACTTACGATTTTTGCATGATGCGTACGTGGGCTTCATCTGGTGAGCTGATTTACGCATATGTATGCATTAATCAATCAATCGGATAACTCGGGGGGGCCGCGCCTAGCGTCGTGCGATATCATCCTGTTCCATGCGCACACGAATTTTGCCCACAAGCTGCATCTATCTTCCCTAATCGTCTACACTGCGACAGAGGTACAGAGACGCGTCAACAACTCCGCTACGTAGACTAAGTACGGCTCGAAGCATCCTCTCCCTTACTCATTCCAATTGAGCCTATGACCGTACCCGAACCGAAGCGCAAATCGTTAAATTCGTCGGGGTTAATGGTCCACTGAGGCGTCCGTCGCATAACAGATCTCACCCTCCGTGCCGTATTATACGTGGGCCGTACCTTTTGAGAGCTAGAGCTGTGCTCAAGGCTGGACGGTCTGTATTCACCGGGTGGTACTGCGATGTCGACGGCTGTCGCACCGAAGTACAAATTGTTGTAGTCCGTGCGAACCCTGCAGGTGGCGAGTTTGCCAATCAGGACTACGTTGTGAACACGGACTGGCAACGGGCGTACCTGAGTGGTGCACAGGATGATGCAAAGCCGAGCGACAGAGCGACAAAGACAGCGGAGAGGATCTTGAAGTGCATGGTTGCGAATGATTAAAAGGAGAGAGTAGAGTAGGGAGAAGGCTACAGGTGCGTGAACCCCGCTCAGAACTCATGCATTGCATTTGACGAGATTGACTTACTATCCGGTACCTCCACTGAATGATCTGTATCTTCAGAGTGTCGCTCGCGACAGCCTGGTGATTTTCTCATCAAGGCTCCATCCTTTATACACCCTTCCCAAGCCCACTGTGGCTGAAACAGTCGCCTTGGGATGTCAACATCTTACAGATCCGCGGGCGGCTTTGACATGGCTACCCGTGCTTGCAGCTTCTGTAGCGCCATCACGCCGTTACTAGCGCTAGTCAATTGACACGGAAGGCCCATGAAGCACCTCACTTCAAAACCTCAACACATACGCAACAAGCTTCTGGCACTCAAACTGGGACAATCGTCAAGTCGTCCACGTTTCAGTACCTGGAACACTGAGGAAGATATTCAGTTTGAGCGCGCTATTCTAGCGCGTTCACAAGTGACAGATGGAAGTCAAGTTGATTAGTGATGGTTGTTGCCATATATGCTCGGTTCTTCCAAGTCGGCACAGGAGCTTGCGTGCTCCGCGCGGGACAACAAGACGCTCGTCGTCATCAAGGTGGAAAGAAGCATCAATAAAATTGTATTGTCGGTCGCCGAGTCGAAGATCAAACATTTGTGAATCTCAAAGCAAAAGTGGGAACCTATGGCACATGTCACCTTACGTGAGGGATTAGTTCTGATTGCAAAACGACAATACACTGATATTGAGACAACAGGACACATTAATGTAAGTATCTAACGTGGGTATACGTTGCTGAATTATCAAATTGCACCCTTCTATCATTTATAGCCCAAGGACTTTGGCGACGTTATCATGGCGTGGCACAAGCTTGATGCGGAAGGGGACCGGGGATCGTCCAGAAAGACCATCGTACTCTTGCAAGTCAATGGGTTCGCCGGGAATCTCAACCATGTTGAA